CATCCTGATGACATCACTGATCTTTTGAAATATTGAAGTATCATTCTGGATACATTTTCCCTTTGATTTCATGCATTTTCTCAGCTGGTCACCCTCATACCCCAGAAGACTACCTATCAGAGGGTGGAGCCATTATCCATTTCACCCCCAAATGTGAGGCTCTCTCAGTGCCTTGAGTTTACAGGGAACATCCTTGGCTACCAGATGTCAGGGACTACCACGGCCTTCCTGCTTATAAACTCTGGTGCCTTGGTCCCCTCGAGTCAATAGGATTTTAAGTTTCTTTATTAAACAGTGCATTCCAGGATGTTCTGTTCCCAGATCATGCACAATGGAAGTCCTGCAGATGGAATTTTTTCTCTAGATTTTTAACTTTCCTCCCCATTTGCCATTATGATTTCTATCACCTATGCTACTTTTACCACTATCTCTCACAGCAAAAGAAAAATACACACCCACCTTGTCAGAAATCAAAGCATTGGGTAAGATTAAAATGTAAATGTTATAGTTCACTTTTCAAAGTGCATTTTATACTTTCGACTATCTGAAGAAATAGAATTTTTATAACCCCATGAAACGGCTGCCACCCAGACCCTTCAGTAAATGCCTAAAAACCTTAATAAATAAATCTCATGTCAGCTACAGCTGCAAAGAGGTGCTCCTGTGATTTGGAAACCAGTCTTGGATGAGGGTTTATTATTAAGAAAATCATCTCCAACACTTAGTTTCCTTTTCTGAGTGTGGTGGCTAGTGATAGGGAATCTCTAAAAGGAAGATGACCCAAACAGTATAGTGTCAATTACTGCATTTATGATGCATCTACTATGTTTTAGGTCTGCACTAAACACTGAGGATACAAGTACAAAAGTAAAACAGTCCATGCTCTCAAGGAGCTTACATTCTGCTGGGGACACAATGTGTTTTTTCGTTGGTTTTGCATAAAGAACATTTTTATTTGTCAAACAAACTGGAGAGACGGTGTAGTACAGTGGAGGCAGTGCCGCATTTGAAGTCAGAGGACATGGGTTCAAAGCCCAAGTCACCTGCTTTGAATTCTAAGTCTTGGAGTCATCCAGTATTGTCTTAGTACTCTAAGTGCTATTCATACCTCCCTAGATCTGTGCAGTTAATGTTTTGTGTTGACTTCTGGAGAGTATAGTGGATGAGTATACTCTTTTTCATGGTGTGACCTTTGGGTATGTGATTACATGAAGGTCTAAAGAGCAAGGCTATATACCTCCACCCCCATTGCTGTATAAATACTCAGTGATGGACTCAGGTCATTGAAGGCATGTATGACCAGAAAATGAGGTGAGTTGGGCCCAGAGTGAAAGCAAAGGTTAAATAGGCACAAGCACTACACTGATACTCAGTTAATATTAAACAGAACTAGAGGAAGGCCTCCAGATGATGGGGTGGATGCTTCATGGAGGATTGATAGAATAGACAGAAATCTTATAGGATGAGAAGGGACAGAGTAGATGTCATCTGTATTAGGAGGCGAGTCCCCTCACCTTGGATTCACATTATATCTTCCAATGAAATGGAAGCTCCCTGAGGGTGCGGACTGTTTGGTTGTTGTTGTTTCTTTTTTTTTTTCTGGGGGTTTTTGTGATTTTTTTTATATCCCCAGTGCCTAGTATAGTGCCTTGTGCATTGCTGGTGCTTAAGAAAAATTTGTTGAATTGAATTCAGTGAGTACAGGATAGAAGTGGATAGACAGGTCAAATTTTAACCACTAACAACTCCATTATTCTGAAGAGCCAATCTTTTGCTTGGGGTGAAAATTAGTCCTATGTTCAGTAGCTTCCTCAACTCCAATATAGAAGGTATGGTTTCTTCCTACACCTGAATATATACACAGATGCAAAGGGTATTAGGTAACAACCTCATACATGTATCTTATGGTCTGTCACTGGCTCTGTCCCTCTGTCTTCCTGTCTGTTTCTGTCTCTCTCTGTCTCTGTCTCTCTTTTTGCCTCCCTCTCTGTCTATCTCTGTCTCTGTGTCTCTGTTTCTGTCTCTCTGTCTGTGTCTCTGTCTCTCCTTATTTCTCTCCTTTCCTCTCCTTCTCTCCCTCCATGTACCCTCTTTTTCAATTTTCTGCTTGTTTTAGTCTGTTCCCCTAGAGTAGAAGGTCAGTCTATGCTGCTTCCAATGATCTTCCTAAAAATTAAGACACCTCTCATTTCCTCTCTTGGCCCTATGATCTCCTTTGTATTCCCTCTCAGATTCTGCCTCATGGCTGTAGGGAAGAACCTCATCTCTCTTCCTGTCACTAATTGATTATTGGGGTCTTTCTTTCCTTCCATTCATTTGAATCTCTCTGTTGACTTTATTTTATTCCTCCCTCCTCCATGTGATGGCTAAACCATTGATACCAAGTTTCATTTTTTACCACTTTTCCACATGTATTCTGGATATCACTACAACAATATTGTTCCTATGCATGGGATAATAAAATCAGATGAGTCTTCTTTATGAATTAAATCTAATATCTTTAACCCAATGAGATCTCTGATTCTAGAAAACATTTTTGGAAGAGAGACAATAGTGGCTATAGGCCTGGACTTGTAGTCAAGAAGAATTGAGACAAATCTTCTTTCTGATGTATACTAGCAAGGAGACCTTGGGCAAGTCATTCAACCTTTATGTGCTCCTAAGCAAACCTCTAAGATTTTAAATGACAGATGAGCTACCAGTCTGCACTGGGATAAGGAATTTCTATACCCATGAAATCATAAATTTTTTTTGGATCTGGTTAAGATGATAGGATCATCGACTTAGAGCTAGAAAAAATTAGAGAACCTCAGAGCCAACCTTTTCATTTTACAGATAAAGAAACTGAGTCACAGAGAGGCTAAATAACTGCCCAGAGACATATCTCTAAAAACATCTCAGGCAGAATTTGAATCCAAGTCTTTTTTTGATATCTAGTCCAGGCCCTAACCATTACACCATGTTACCTCTTTCTATGCCATGTGTAGAGAGCAGACTGTTCAACTATTCCTCTATGCAGTTATATAATTTTACATCTGGAAGAGACCTTAGAGATCATTTGGGCCAATCCCTCATTTTTTTTTCCAGAAAATGAAGGCCCAGAGAGAGGTCTTCCCTCCCTCTTTCCCTTGTTTCCTTCCGTCCCTCCTCCTCTCTCTCTCTCCCTCCCTCTCTCTCTCCCTCTTCTTTTCTGACTATATAGAGCACTTGTCTGCAATTCCAGATCCAAAGGCAGAGGATGAAAACAGCAAAAAAGGGAATATTCATTGAGGGATTCCTTTCTTTCTTTCTTTCTTTCTTTCTTTCTTTCTTTCTTTCTTTCTTTCTTTCTTTCTTTCTTCTTTCTTTCTTTCTTTCTTTCTTTCTTTCTTTCTTCCTTCCTTCCTGTCTTTCTTTCTCAAATTGGAAGTGCAGCAGCCATCTACAGGCCTGATTCCTATACTAATTGGCACGGAAAGTTTTACTAGCTCCTTGTTTTTCTGATCTGGTCTTATATACCCCTCCTTAAGCAGCCTGGTGGTTTTCTTCTTCTGGACACTCACCATATTTGCACCAGACTTAGTTTGGGTACCCAATTAGCTTTCTCCTTACTACAGCTCAGAACTCTTGAACTCAATTGATCCACCAGCCTCAGTCTTCCCTAGTGGAAGGGATTACAGGCCTGTATCACCACATCCAATCCAAGTTCATTTTGAAGACTCCTGGATTATATTAAAAGGGCTTCGACCAGACCCCTTAGGTCTTTAGATTTCTCATTCAAGATACTTTCCATGACATCACACTGCCTCTCAAAAGCAGAGATCTATTAATATTACAAATGATAACTAAGTGTAATGAACTGGCATGTGCCAGTGGAAACCTTGGACAATTTCCATGAAGACTAAATGAGCACTCTGACATGTGGGATACACACCAGAGACAACCATAGGCCTAACATACACACAGAGAAGAAATCCCTCAATGGATATTCCTTTTTTGCTGTTTTTATCCTATGCCTTTGGACTTGGAATTCTAGACAAATGCTCTATATGGTCAGAAGAGAAACAAATATTATTGAAGCATCTCTTTTAGGTTTATGGGACGTTTTATTAGGTCACTCTCTGATAATTATATGACTTGGGCAGCAGTTTGTTGAGTTTCCACTATAATTTTCAAGGCAAGGGGCAATAAAGTCTCCCGGGCTTGGAAATGTTGGTGTAATCCTCCTTGTTTTAAGGAAGCCACTCGATTTTTAGGCCTAGGTGACAGAATGCACATTAAGAGTATAATTGGCAATATGGGTAATGCTGCTTTCAAAGGCTGCCCTATGAGTACCATTTTAATACATCATGCCCTTTTCCTTTTAAGGAGTGACAGTTTTCTAGTTCCCTTGGATGGTCCTTCCAGGGAATGCTGTATTACCTAGAACTAGTCCAGATGGGAATGGATATACTCTAGACAACAATTCAGTACTCTATTCTCTGAGACCTTCAGAGAATCATAGAATTAGAACTAAAAGGGGCCTTTGAGGTCATCTACTCCAACCCCTTCATTTTGCAAATGAGGAAATTGAAACCCAGAGATCTTAAGTGACTTGTCCAAAGTCACATGAAAAGTATAGTAGAAAACCTGAGATTCAAACTCAGGGTTCTCTGATTCCCAATCCAGTGCATCTTTTTGCTACTGAACACATTTTGAGCTGCAATTAGTCAGGATTAGTTTTAAAGCACGATTTGCAACATTTGATCATGTGTCTAGTGCTGACCTGGTAAGAATTTGTATTAGCCAAGGTTGAGCTGTTTTAACAAATGTGGCTTTTCTAGTGGAATCAGGCAGAATGTAAGAGATGGCCTGTGTTCCAGCAAATTGTCAAGGGTTTCTTGACCTATGAAGCTATTGCAAATGTTATTGTACCAGCTTTACTCTCTCCTTCAACTTTAAATGTACCTGGCAAGCTCATAAGTGTGGCAAAAGCCTTGATCACAATATAAAGCTAATGGCATTCTATTGGGCTGGGAAAGATTGCAGATTCATGGAACCAATGAAGGGGGACTGCAGCAACCCTATGGGATTGGTGAAATTCTTCCAGAAGTCCTCTTTCCCAGAACTCTGATGAGGAAGAGTGATGTGTTTATGGTGAACTCAGATTTGATAATGCATTTTAAACAGGTAAATATCCAGCGATTTGGGGAATCATGCAGAAAGCACCATACTATTCCAAGCGGGAAGGCTAACCTAAGTCTTGGTAGACTGCCAACTAGCTGAATAAAATTGCTAATGAAATAACACCAGTTACAAAATGGGCCTACTATCAACTTGGGAGAGTGCTTTTCTGGCCCTAGGCCCAGATTTTGCCAGCACAAGGTCACTGATTGGACCCTTAGAGCCTAAGTAGCTCCTGGCATCCTTGGCTGCCCCTCCCACTCATTTTGCCTTGAACATGATCTTTTTCCGTTTACTGCTATTTGCTATTCTTCTGATATTTTTTCCAATGATGTGTTTGTGTTTTTGTTTTTGTTTTTTCCTAGAGAGGAGAAATCTCATCTGGTTCAAGGTTCCTGTTTTTTCTCTATAGTTCACACATCCAGCTCAGTATCTCTTCTCCCCTTTCCCCACTCCACAGAACTGAAGATAACTGTGTTGCATTTGAATTAAAACCAAATGAGTTAATCATCACTTTAAAATTAAGGTGTCATTTGTAAATGGTTTATTCATTATTAATGAAATGATTTCCACTTGCAGCAATATTCTTTATTTGTGCATGATAAAGTAAGTTATGAAAAGCAATAGAGGAAAACCTTAGCAGATAAGGGTGTGTTCATTTCTTCCCAAATGCTGCTCTCAAATATGTCTCACAGAAAAGTTACTGCGCAAATGTCTATGGGGATAGTGGAACCAATTATTCACCAGGCCATAAAGTGACATATGAGGAAGTCGTTAATAATAATAAATAATAAGATAATATTGTTAATACTAATGATGAACATGTTCTTTGCCAATGGCCCATTAATAATAAACACTATCATTAATGCAATGAATAATAAAGTATTACAATTAGTCATTTGCAGATATCACCCAGGAACCTGTAGAACAAAGAACCAGAGCTGAGCATACATTGGCCCCTGAGCTGTCCATGGGCCAAACAAAGATAGATCCTGAAGGAAAATATTTAGATTTTGTCACCAAAAATCTAAGACCCTGAATTATAAGAGAATGTTGTGGTTTTTCCAAAAAAAACCCTTTTGTTTTTATGTCACAGTCATTTGTGAATATATTATATACTGGCCCATCCCCATCCCCATCCCCATCCAGCAAATGAGCATTTTCATTTTACAAGGAAAACACATTTGGCAGAACCACAGATCTAGCCACCAGTCTATGTGTCTGACAATGTATACAACATTCTGCACCAATAATCCCCCACCTCTGCTGAATGGAGGGAGGTGCTTCTTCATATTGTCTCTGGGTCCAAGAATGGTCATTATGCATACATATACATGTATGTATGCATATATGTTGCATATATTCATATATGTATGCATATATCTTGGTTCTATTTACTTCACTCCATTATCTGTTTATACAAATTGTAAAAGTAAGTGATAGAGATGTTTGGCAACTTCTCTGCTGTCCACAAAACAACCATATGAGACAAGTTGTTTTCAAAAGTAAGGGGCATGATTTCTATTTTCTGCTGTTATAGTATACACCCTTCTATTTTGGGAGAAGAAAAGATTGATGCTAGGTATTTAAGATCCCCAGGAATCAAAGCTATCTTTGAAATGGGGTTATAGAATCTGTGGGGCCCAAGAAATAGAAGGTTGATGTCCCCTTAGCAACACAAACATCACAGTTAGGGAGTATGCATTCATTTATGGCATCCATTCCAAATGTCAGCTCTTCAGCTTCTCAATCCCTCCCCAACTCTCCATCAGGCTGCTTTGAAATTCCTCCCCTTCCCCAGAAAAATCTCCAAAATCAATCTTAATTTTCCATTATTTGTTTCTAAATGTTTCTAAATTTCCTTTGTTTGATTTCTAAAATGAATATAATTATAAATATGCCATATATGGACAAAGGTAGGGGTTTCTGTGTCATAACATCAAATAAAGCATGGGGAAAGAAAAAGCAATAAGAATTCTGGTCTCAGATCTACTATGACCTTGTTTCTGACCTTGAGCAAATCCCTTTCCCCTCTCTGGTCCTTGAATTCCTTCTCTGTAAAATGAGTGAGTTGGATTAGATGATTTTTTGAAGTAAAATTGTATTGATATCTTTTGTTTTTACATCATCAAAACTTCTCCTTTCATTTCTTCCCCTCCCCACCACTCCCAGAGCCATTCCATATAGCAAATCTATTTTAAAGAAAAAGAAAAAGGAGGAAGGAAAGAAACAAGCATTTGTTAACTGCCAACTATGTGCCAGGGACTGTGCTAAGCACTTCACAAATGTGTCTCATTTGATTCTCACAGCAACCTAAGGAGGTAGGTATTATTATTATTACCCCTATTTTACTGTTGAGGGGCAGTTAGGCATCTCAATGGATAGAATACTGGCCCTGGAGTCAGAAAGATCTGAGTTCAAATTTGGCCTCACATATTACTAGCTGTGACCCTGGGCAAGTCATTTAACCCTGTTTGTCTCAGTCTCCTCATCTGTAATATGAGCTGGGGAAGGAAATGGCAAACCACTCCAGTATCTTTGCCTAGAAAATCCCAAACAGGGTCACGAAGAGTCAAACACAATTAAAGCAACACAATAACAACAACAACAACAACAAACCATAACAAATTTTACAGTTGAGAAAACTGAGGCAGGCAGAGGTCAAGTGCCTTTCCCAGGATCACAAAGCTAGTAAATGTCTGAGGCTGGGTTTGAAGGAGGAGAGGGGGGAAAAGCAACAAAACTGATCAATACTTTGAAACACTGAAAATATATGCAATGTTCTCCACCTGCAGACCTCCCACATCTGCAAATGTGTTGGGGAGATATCTTCTCACATCTCTTCTTTGGCGGCATGCTAGTTCTTTGTAATGTTGCAACATTAACTTTTGACGGTTTTGTTGTAGTTGTTTTTTCTATTTAGATTGTTGAATTCGATTATTTCTAACGTTCTGGCCAGCTCTGAAGTTCTATGCAACAATAGGTTAACGTGGTTTGTTAAAGAGTGGGCATCTAAGAGTCTTTATCTCAAGAGAATGCCTGGGACTTTAAGCTGCTGTGAAGCTGTCTGATATCAGCCCCTCGGAGTTCCAACTAAAGTATGTGAGGCTCGAATGAGGCTGGTGCAGACACTGATGTCAAACAACCCAGATAACAACAAATAACGCAGTCTCTCACATCCTACTTCCTACAGGCAGCCTTGGTGAGAGCAATAACGATTTTACTAGATCAATTTAAACTAGGTCATGGGATCATAAACTTAGTTCTGGAAAGGTCCTTAGAGACCAACAAATTCAATCTCTTCATTTTACAGAAAAAGAAACTGAGACTTAGGTTAAGTGACTTTCCCAGGGTCATACTGGTAGCAAGTGTCTTGGGGAAGGATTTGAACCTAGGCCATGCTGATTCCAGGAATCCGTTCCAGAATCTTAGATTCATTGATCTCACTCCATTTTTCTCCTTTATTTCTTAGCCACACAGAGAATGTTAGGTGAAAAAAATTGAAGTTCTCAAGGGATGCTAACAAAGTAATTGTGTCTTTATGAAAAGACTGACTGCCTGAGCCAAAGGTGAGTTAATTTGTCATTAAGAACAATAGGCTGGAAACAGAATGGGGCAGGGGTGAGGGAGGGCTTAGGCTGAATTTAAACAGGGAGAACACTTGGTGTAACATAAAGAACCCTGGGTTAGGAGTCAGGTAGACCTGGGTTCTAGTCCTGACTTTGCTCCTGAATAACTCCCTTTGTGACCTGGAATGTTTTTCCTTCTCGAGCCTTGGTTTCTTTTTGTACAAAATAAGGACATTATATAAAAGACCTCAAGAGGCCTTTCCAATAATAAGGTAATATGATTTGGTGTCTGACTGAAGCTATTCCAGGGTAAAAGAGGCTGTAGCCAGGTGCAGAGCAGTAAAAAGGTGGGTGGAGACCAGCATATGTTGGGTTTACAGTGCACACATTAGATCCGCTCTCCCTCCCAACTTAGGCTGGCTCCATGCCAAGACCACTTGGCACTTCGTTAATGTATGCTGGTGATCTCAGAGCACTCCAAGCAAGTATAGGTGAGCCTTATTTTTCAGGGATGAGGCAACTCCACCTCAGGAATATTGGTTACCATCGAATGCAGGGATTTTTAACCTTTTTTTGTCGTGGACCCCTTTTCAGTCTGGTAAAGCCTGTGAACTCCTCAGAATAATGTTTTTAGATAATTGAAAGAAATGCTAAATTTCAGCTAGAGGTTGGTGAAGATAAAGAAATATTTTTTCCACACCCAAATTCACAGACCACCCCCCTGAAATCTTTCCATGGGCCCCAGGTTAAGGATGCTCAGTTTAAGATAACTAGCAAGAAAGTGACCTGTAAGAAATAGAAGAATTAAGGTCTGAGCCCAGGAGAACTCTCCTGGTTTACTTTGCCACAGCTGAATCTTTTGGTCCCATTTCTGCATTCCAGTTCTATAAATGAATCCATCACCTACCCTGTCACAAGACCGGTCTTGGTGCTAATGCTGGCTTAACTCTCATAGTGTGCAAGGCTGCCTGCATTCATGTGTGCAGTCTGAGGATCAAAACAAGGGGATACTTATTTAACGCTAGGATAGACCTAAGGAAGCACATAGTCCAATTTGTTCATTTTATAGATTGAGAAACTGAGGCCAAGAGAAGGGAAGGGATTTGTTTAAAGTCACACGCACATAGGCAGTAAGTAGCAAATTGACATTTCCAATCCAGGAGGTCCAACTTCAAATTCAGGACTTTCCCCTCCTCTCCCCACCCCACATTAGACCATAAGCTCCTTGAGAGAAGGGACTGATGTTGGTTTTTCTTTTATCCCCAGCTCTTATCACAGTGCTTGGCATATAGTAGGCACTTAATAAATGCTTGTTGATTATTAACTGACATCCTCCTCCTTCTCAGTCAAATACATGCTGAGCAAACATACCTTGTACAAGTGTTCTTTCGTTTATTTATTTATTATTTTAAAAGGAGAGGACAAACTCATATCATATTAACTATGCACATAACTTGCATCATTACTGAGCATATACCCAAATATGTCTTTTCCCTCTGAAATTCCTAGTATCTCACATTTATTAGGTTGAGGCATTTTAGATCTGCCGAGTCAACTCATTTCAATTAAAATTCAAGAAATATTCAGTAAGTAGCTATTGTGTGCAAGGTACTATTCTGGGGACTAGGGGAGAAACAAAGTCTGAGTAAGATTCTTGTCCTCTGGGAGCTTTCTGGGCTTTGGAGATTAAAATGCAAAGACAATAATAAAATATTCCTGACCTCTGAAAACTGAGATCAGAAAGTTTCAATGACTAGCCTACTTGCCTAGGGTCCCATAGGTAGTGAGTGAGTGGCAGAGCTGAGATTCAAATGCAGGTTCTTTGACTTTAAGTCTAAAGCTTTTTCCAAACCACCTTTAAAATTTCTTGTTTGTTTCTTTA